GGAAGGTTGCGGCCGCCGGATGCTCCAGGTGCAGCCCAGACTCCTCCATCAGCAGCGCCGCGCTCCGCCTGCGGCCGCGCACACCACGCAAACATAAACCTCTAAGTTTTAAAAATACAACTAAAAAACGAAAAATACAATAAATACATAGTTATACCGTATGAAGTGTTTTTAATATCCATTCTGAGCAAGTTCTTACGACAGCATAGTATGAAATAAAACAATGGTCGAATTGCAAAGGTCGAAAAACCGAACTTTATCTCGATACTCGATTTCGCCACATCATAAAGTTGGCAGTTTTAATAGAGACATTACAAATTTAAGAAGATTCTAAGACAAGTTGTTAGATCGCAACATTGGTAGTTTAAATGTTATTATGAATACAGGTGTGACAGGTGAGGTGGGATGGATCGATCCAGGGCTCCCGCGATCCGACGGGAATAGCTGCGGCCGGCGGGGTCGCGGGCCGCGGGGGAGCGGGGGAGCGGGCGAGCATTGTTTACAACACAGACACACTGGCTTGCTTTCTGTTAATGCCACCTAATTTATGATTGGTGGATCTAATTTATGGTGATTAATTTTCTGTAAAGGCCTAAATATCAACACAAAGTTTAATTGTTCTGGCGTATGTTAAGACGAGGGTAAAAACACAGGAAAACCTAAGGAATCGCGTATATTATGAGCTCACTATGATCTTATCTATAATTGTTAAAAACTTTAAACTAATCGATAGAAATAATTCGATTATATCATTGTACAATATCTAATATTAGATGTAATTAAAATACTGAACTACAGGATAAAGACAGAGGTATCGATTGCGTCTCCAGGCGGGCGTTGATCAGAACGTCCGCCAGACGGGCAGACGAGCAAAGGGCGGGCCTCGCGGAGTTCGAAACCTATTCAATTGGGGAGTCAACGCACTCTCTCTCAGAGACATTTCTTTGTTCAAGTTCACGTGTAAAGAATAGTATTTAGTGTAATTAGGGTGTAAATTTAAAAACAAAGACAAATTGCCACAAAGACACGAGGATTTCGTAGCTTGATGGATTTTTCACTAGCACGTTATTTAAATGCTTGAGAAAATTAATATCTACAAAAAAGCTTATATGTCGATCAAAATTTTTCTGTTTCCGTGCGATCTTTCGCGAGGCACCGAGATTGCTAGTGTGTAACTGCCCTTATACCAATTATGATAATATACAAAGTTTACTTAATACTTTATCAGTAATTAACCAACAGACCTAATACATTACATATAATATATTGATTAATATATGTACATACATTTCAATGTCATATAGTAATGAAGTCAGCAGCAATGCAACCTTGCAAGTTGCTGCAAATTGAGCACAGACCATACAAAGCAGTTGTGTATATTTTCATTTAATTCAATAAGGAGTTTTAATTTTTGCACACCCTCAAGATGTGGTAAGGTTTAAGAGAGACCTTGACCTGATAAATGTCCATCTTCTACTTTATATATTGTTGTATACATAATAATTCTTTTTTTACTTTTAGAATGATATATTAAATGGGTCACTGAAATATTTGGAGAATGCAACATCATTTAAATCAGCCTTGTTCTTATCTCATGTTAATGAAGAAATGCATAATTAGGCTACATTCTAATATTTTATAAATAAAAAAAGTGCTGCCGGTTTTATTTAGAAATAAGATAGAGAACAAATAAGTGTAAAGTTTTTGTTAAACTAATGTGGGTTTAATTATAAATTGTATGTTTTCCTATTCCTATGTCAAATAAAATGTGCACATGACATGACAAAATATAACAATAGTACTAAGATTGTTACTAACAATAGTCATTGTTTATCTTTGTTCCGAAATGTCGGATATCCATAACATGTATGTAATTGAATGTAAGACTCCCTGTACCTCAAGTATTTCTTTTGTCACTTTTATGTAAGAAAGTAGCAAAGGCAAAGGCAGACCTCCTGTTACGTGACCACTACCATGTGCATCCCTACAAGCTATTAAGTACATGTGTTGCCTCACCTAGTCGCCATTAACAAGATAAAGAGGAGACAAATAGAAACAACTAACAAAACATTTGAAGCATTCCAGTCTTTATCTTATTAGAATGACATGGCATAGGGAAGAGATCTAGAATTGAACAACTATTCCTTCAACAATCGGCCAAAATGATAAATTATTAACTTCTTGCTGGTATTCTATGAGTTTCTGGGATTGCTAAAGCCGAGCTAGTTCATCAATGCATATAGCATGTCGGTGATCCAGTCTCTACTACCAAGAGCTGGAAATGAGCTACAGATTGTTTCCTAATTAAGCAAAACAAAAAAACTCACTCCAATCCTATGGAGAGCAAGTGTTGGCCGATGAGACGCACAATCTCCTGGTCTGTCTGGCTCATGCGTCGCCCCGGCGGCTGGAAGTCGCCGTTGGTGGCCACCGCATCACCATTGACGTGGTGCTGAGCGCCCACCGCGCCGTTGGCGCACGGCTGGTGCATGGCCGCGGGCTCCGGCGACAGCCTGCGGGTGCGCTTGCGCGGCGGCCGCTGGCCTGCGCCCTCGTCGCCCGACTCACTGGAGGCCAGGCTGGCCCTCTCGGCTGCGCGTGCTCGCCGCGCTCCCCGTAGCGCCGAGATCACGAGCGCGCTCTCCGCATCCGCCGCATCGGCCTCGACACCTTGCTCTTGTGACGTCACGGCCGCCCGCTACGCACCACCCGCACTCAATGGACCATCTCCCTTTGTTCGTGCCTACAAAACTATGCTTCTCGATTGTTCGCGTTCGCTGCTTAAGGAGATTACCCAATCGACAAAAGATTACTCTGAAGACTATGCAGTAATTCAACACTCCTACGATATGTACTCTGGTTCACAATGATCTCTAGCGTATACAAAAATCAGCTGAAAATGAAACGACAGCTGTCTATGTGCAACATCGCCCTTCCTTTCCGATTTAGATGACGTTCGTTTCATCGTTTGTTATTCCGTCGCACATCGGGAGGAATCGTATTCGTATGCAATATGATGGACTAAAAATAGAAAAATCATAAAAGAAAAAGCAATTTTATTTAATTTTTATTTCAATTTTAATTTTGTACTATAATATAATTACTTCTAAATGCTATTTGAGAGCGGGTAAAATAAAACAAATAAGTTAATATTAATTAATATCAAATTAAACCTTGGGAGGGCCAAATGGGAAGCGTTGTAACTTTGTAAGTAAAACGGAACATTGCTAGAAATAACTGACACTGACACAGAATTTGACAATGACATTTGACGTAATATAAAAAACAGAGAAAAATACAAACGTTGCTTTTGCTCATTTTACATTTTATAATGTTTTATATTTTACTTCAATAAGTAATTACAATTAATTAGTTAGAATAAATACGATACATGTTTTAAAACAAAAATGCGCAGTATGTATGTATTTAGGAAAAAAGCTAAGTAATTTATAAAATATAAGGGAATATATATATCACTAATAACAAGATTTACTGTTTTGGTTTGGACCCAAAAGTGAAAAAGTATTTGTTATGAATGTTTCTATAAGAGGAAAATGCAGTTACATACAAGTTTTATTTTTCTTTACACCCTATTTCAACCAATTAATTTGCAGCTTCTAATCAATGTAAAAAATCAGGTGTGAAACTTTCTATAATTAAATAACTTTTGCAACTAAATACATTTATTAAACTGTTGAGTTGTGCAGGGTGGCGATGTTATGCAGGAGAATATAACAGCAAATGTGTCGGAAGATACTGTTATACTAGATTTTTTGCGCTTGGATGGAGTTTATGTCTCTCAACTTGTAGACTTTACCAATGTAAGTGACTCTGATGTGAAGAAATCGACAATGTGCAAGCACTTCTGCAAGCATCATCTGCTTATATTTCATTGTATATACATTTTAATTCTATCAACTGAAAATATCACAGTCATGTTAATATCTGTTAAGGAGGTGGAAGCTATGAAAGTGGTGATACCAGCGGAGGAGGAACTGGGTCAAAGTGGATTCCAGACTCTCTGCTTCCTAACTCATGCTGCACAGGCTGATTTTATTGCACCAGATGCTATGGCTAAACTGAGACAGGTTAGTTTAACTACTTGACCAATATTTGTAACTTTTTTATTTCCCTTTTTATACTATAGGAAACCTTTCTAACTTTACTAACATACTCTTTATTATCTTGCAATGAAAATGTACTGAAGGCTTTTGTTATCGACTGATTATTGAGATTTTATATTATAGAAAAACCCAGGAACAGTCCGTGTAGCGGAGGAGGACAAGGGGTGGCGGCAGACGACAGCGACGGCATGGGCGGGGCGCGCCGTGCGGCTGCTGTCGCCCGCGGCTGCGCGCCACTGCGCCCCCGCCAGGGACCATATCTACTTAAGGACTGCTGATCTCTCCAGATGGGCCCCCAGGCCAGGTACTTCATTCATACTTCATTCAAGGTTCATTTTATTCACATAGAATATTCATTATATTCCCCCACTGATCAATGTTTGCAATTTCCTTCTAGGTATGTCGCAGTTATCATATTCAGCAGAAGTAACCCCGTTTCCGGCTAATGCTCTGTCTGCTGACACATCTGATGGCAAGCCGGGTGTTGGCCCGTGTGTAGCAGAGAATGATACTTCAAAAGAATGTATTTGTCACATAGAGGTATGCAAATTGATGGCTATACTTAAAAAGTAAGGGATTCATCAGAAATATTTAAAAGTGACCTTGTACGAGCATGCCTTAAGCAATTCATTAAATAAACTTATAAATCTATAATCTTTGCATTCCTAGGTCAGGGGTTTGAGTTGTTTATGTATTTCAAATTTAAAGTTTATATTAACAATAATATTCAGGTGTGTGTGAACTGGTATCCCTGTGGCCTGAAGTACTGCAAGGGCAAGCCGCAGGGGGGCATGAGCTACCGTTGCGGCATTAAGACATGCCACCGCTGCTACCGTTACCACTACTACGTACTGCGGCGGGACGTCTGCCTCACTTACACGTGACAGTGCGCCCACTGGCCGCCGACCTCTCTGTGTCAAATGGGCCGACTACTTACTCACAGTGCAGACTCCTGACTTTAATACAAGAAAATCTCAAGATTTTTTATTGTGTTGTGCCTCTGATTTGTCCTGTTAGTTCGCTTTATTATTGAAAAAATTGTGAACCTATGGCAAATTATTTCCAGTGGAATTACTACACTGGGTTCTATGATTGATGGATGATGTGCTTTACATGTTTAATTACTGTTTGTTAAGTATACAATTGCTTTTTACAGACTACTGCCATTTTATTGAATTTATTACCAAAGAATATTACATTAACTTTTGATATAATTTTCTTAGAATTAATATGATGTACAGCTGTTCATTGAGAATGATGAGTGCAAAATTTACCATAAATTTATTATATTGGTGTGATGATGTTCTTGTTCTTGTATATAAATGCTGTGGAATTGTAATGCTATATGTTAAGAATAAAACTTTTTGTATGATGTTTATTGATTTCTAAATATTTTGTTTTATTGACAACTAGCTGTTGCCCTTGACTACACATGCCTGAAATAATAAAATATAGCCTGTTAATACTGTAGCTTTCTAATGGTGAAAGAATTTTTAAAATCGGCCCAGTAGTTTTTGAGTTATTTCAATACATACAAAAATACAAACCTTTACAAAAATACAATTCTTCTTTATAATATCAGTATAGGTACCTTTAGTTATTATTTATAATAGTATAGTATTGTATTGTATTTCAATCACACTCTATAATACATAAAAAAACAAACCACATACATGTAGACTCACCCTTCTTTGTATTCATAATGTTCTACTAACTTAATATTGAGGGTAGTAAAAGTCTTAAAAGTTGTTATAAGATGTTTACATTATATAACAGCATATTTGTTAAAAGTAAAAAGTAATCTTTGTAATTCAAATTTCCTAACTACGATTGGTTTTCACTAGATTTAAATTATCAATTTCAAAATTAATGACATCCAGGGAATGGCTCGTGACGGTTTTTTCTAAGTACAAAGTGAATTTTCCTCTCCATGTCTTCATTATAAATTGCCTTGCATTTCTCATGGTTCACTCGTCGCCTTGTCTGTAAATAAAAACTATTATAAATTTTGCGCTAAGTACATGTTAACTGAATTAGGTAATAAATAGTTTTGCAAAGTTAATAATTAAATATTCAGTTAAGGTTTTACAACTAAATTTGGGGCGTCAATTACCAAGAATTTTATATTTATCAAAACAAACTTACTTGGAAAGGTTTTTCATAATATCTCGTAAGACGAAACTGCTCCAAGATGCCTTCTTTGCCAAGAATCCTGTTCACGAGTCTACAGGCGTCGTCTACGTTGTTGTTCTTTACAAATACTGTTCGAGCAATAAACGAAGGATGTCTGTTAGCAAGAAGTTTAAATGTCAGGAACATTATTGTGATATATGTATTAGTTTAATAATTTAAATAAGGGTTATAGGAGGTTAGAGCGATAATCATAAACATCAAAATAAAATGTCAAAACGACAGGACAGCTGTGTCCCAAGTGACAGTGACATGTAGGATTTTATGCAGTTTTATGCAGAGTCAATTAGGTGAATTACTAGAACATTAAACATTGAAAAACCTATTAAAATCAAATTAAAGTGATGTGTTGTAATTTTAAGACAAAATCCAAATATTAATAATATTAGATCTTGGCGTCTTACTGATCGTTTTTAAGCCATGTTTATGAATGCTCGCGGATCCTAACTATTGCTTGTCTTTATACTTCACATGCACATCATATAATTCATTTAAAAATTAAATATAAAATCTTTGAATTTTATTAATCCACTGAAATAATCAGTACCTATACAAACTATTTCTTTACACTCAACCGGTTTGTCATGAAATTGACAACAATATTCATAAACATTGTTTTTTTTATGAGTTTGTAATAACTGTAGTCCTATTGAGTAGCAAAAATGGCAAACGATAGCGACATGAGATCGCTGCTGACGATGTCGTCGAGCATCGAAGGCAGCATGTCCCCGCAGGTCCGCAAGTGGAGGAACATCCCGCTGCACGAGCGGTGTTCCATGAGCGACATGGTCAAGATAAAAGAAGTCTTCGAGACCACGTACGGGAATAAGCTACTTCAAAACGAATTTAGAAATCTCTTAAAAACTCTGCTTAACGTAGAATATGATGATGAAGAGTTTAAAATACTTTTTATGAAGGTAACTAGTCGCATAGTACTTGCAGGCGATCCTCTAATCAACCAATCAAACTTATTTGGCAACATATGTAGCTGATTAGATACTGATGATTAACATGGGTGATTAAAGAAAAGAAAAGAAAAACAAACTGTGCAAAAAAGTACGGACCAAGAGTCTATAGAAGTTAATAAATAAAAAATTAAATAAAAAAAAACAAACAGCGTAGACAAAATATACTTAATGCAACTGACGACGATATTATTGGATTACATAAGAGCTTAATATTCTTTAAGATCAATACGAGCCGCGACGGTGAAATCAACTGGGACCAGCTGGTGTCTCACCTGCTGCTGGGCCACTTCGCCAGCGACCAGGAAGACCAGGGCGAGTCACTTCAGCTGCCTATCATGGGCCTGCCGAAGATTATGCGCTCGCAACACCGCCATCCCATCTCTAGAATATGCTTTTGTCCAGATGTTGCTAAAGTAAATTTAATTTTCGAGTGTTAAGAACGAAACTAAGAACTGCAGGCAATATTCGAGTATAAAAATAGATAATACTAGACCAAGACAATGACTAAGACACCGCAAATCTTCAGTTTCCTTAACCTTAAATGGACAAAAACATGAATATTTAAGTATGTGTCTAGTGATGGTAAAACGTAGCGTTATACCGTGCCAGGATCGTAGTACGGACCCCATGCAGGGCTGCTATGTGACGGCCAGCCGCGATGGAATGCTCAGCTGGTGGTCGCTGGACATGGTGCGCCTGCGCAGCGCGCAATCTACATGCCGTAACTATCTGCCGCTGGTTATTGTTCCAGTTCTCCACTATAAAAATGCACTTGCAGCATTAAAAAAGAATCAGATTTCCGATTGCATACAGACCATGATTGTTATATTACTATCTGTAAAACGTTATAGTTCAAACGTAATATTATTATAGACGAAGGGATACATAGATGATGTTTATGTGAGATAGTGAGTGTTGGATGCAGCTGCGCTGAAGGTGCGCTCCACGTGGGTGACGGACCTGGCGTGCATGCCAGACGTCAACATCGTGGTGACCAGCTCGACGGAGCGCGACTTGCGCTTCTACGACTGCAGCGCCGGCACCTTTACGCTCAAAATCATCATTTCAAGCTGGGAGTACATGGTGACGTAAAATAAATATTCAAAATTTTGAATAACCCCTTCATCACTGACCAACTTGTAAACAGGTAATGAGACTTGTGAATATAATATCGATTCAATCGATCGATTGATTCGATCGGATCAACGTATCACGACGCAGTAAACCTGGACGTTATTATGTAAATATCGAGTAGTTCCTATAAATTAAGTAAATCTAATGCGATTATTAGCAAAATCTTTTGGACGTGACGAAATGAGAAAAACTTATAAGTAGGGAAAATAATTTAATAAAATATATGATTGTCTCGTTACGTTCTATGTAATACCTTGAATAAGTAAATGACTGTATAATTGATGTGTCAGATAAGTACAATGTACTACCACTTCGACAAGGACGAGCGCGAGGACTGCCTGCTGGTGTGCGGCGACGTGGGTGGGTACGTGCGCGTGCTCCGCTTCTCGCCCCTCATGCGCGGCCCCTTCCGCAACCAGCCCGGCCGAGCGCTGCAGCAGCTGCGCCACGTGGACCTGCAGAAGCGGGTTCGATGCACATGCACACACACCACATGGTAATGGAAGGTGAGCGGACGCTGTAGCTGGTTGTCTTGCAGCCGGATCTGCTGGCGGAGCTGCAGCTGGTGGAGTTCCCGCGCGCGCACACGGACTGGGTGCGCCAGGTGTCATACTACGCATCGCTACATTGCGTCGTGTCGTGCGCCACGTGCCCCGACGCGCTGCTCATGTGCGACCTCGCCGCCTCCCGTACTCACAACACCTTCCACAATGAAAAGGTTTGTTGACAGTCTAGCGGTCGTTTTCCGACAGCACAGTAAGGTAGCAGCCAATTCTGTGATCGATGAATAATTTGATACTTGATATACAATGTGGCGCGTACGGGATAGGCGGTATGGATCTCGTGTCAGTGAATGCATGTGTGCGGCCAGGGTATCCAGTGCTTCGCGTTCGAGGAGGAGGCGCACGTGTTAGTGACGGGCGGGCCCGACTGCTGCGTGCGCGTGTGGAACTCGTTCGTGTCGACGGCGCCAAGCGCGTTGCTGCAGGGCCACCGCGCCGGCATCATTGCGCTAGTGCTGCAAGACCGCGCGCGCCGCGCCTACTCCCTGGCCAGGGACCGCACCATCAAAGTCTGGGACCTGCAGGCGCAGGCTTGTCTGCAGGTATAAATTTCAACAAACTTTTTATTCGATAAAGGAATACATAGGGCTAACATATTGGTGGAGCTCGCAGGATACAACTAGACGTAGAGGCCAGAGAAACTTGTCAACGTTTATGTTGTAATCCTAGTGAAAGTAAGATCGTTAAACAGTTTTCGCTCGGTAGACTTACATCGACGTTCCGCCGCAAATCGGCGAGCGCACGCCGATCTCGGCGGTGTACAACCCGGCGACGCGCGAGCTGCTGCTGGCGGCGGTGAAGCTGGCCGTGCTGGTGCTGGACGAGCAGCTCAACCCGCTGCACACGGACGGCTTTACGCACTCCCGCGCCGTCTCCAAACTCCTCTACAACCCACTCTTCAAAGTCATCATCACGTGCGGCATGGACAGTATCATTATCAACTGGGATCCTCTCATCGGTGACCTTACTGTACTCATTAACATAGGAAAATATTTTCGTTTTCCTAAGTGAATGTTTAACGTTAAAACGAATAGTCTCAATGGAACATCACCGTAATTTTGGAAAGCTTACAAAATGTTTAGCATTTAGCTTGAAAGTTTGCTTGCATGGTGTACGCGTCGCGCCAGGCAAACGCAACGTGGTGATGCGGTCTGCGCACACGCGGCTGCTGCACGGCGAGCTGGTGCCGGTGGAGATCACGGCCGCCTGCTTCGACCCCGCGTACCAGCTGCTGCTTACTGGCGCCCGGGACGGCACCCTCAAGGTTTCCCACACTCACTCGCACATAAAAGAAACTGTACCGTTTTTCGCAATAAATTAGACATTTCATAAGGGTGAGGTTTGCATGGCAGACGTGGAACTTCAACACCGGTGTGAGTCTGCGGTATTTGGAGATCGAGCACATGTGCGAGGTCACCAGCTGCTTTTGGATCGAAGGAAGGTAAACAAAGTGAAGTTTTAATTTGGATTTCATACAGTAGAGATGGAAGATTAATTTGAGTAACTTAAATAGTGAATAAGTGATTTTAATGAGACTACTTATACCTGACAACTAAACTCCTTCTGATATACTTAATGGATCCATCCTTTACGAATCGCCCTTTAGCAACACTACCGTTAGGTATTGGGCTGCTTAATTGTCTGAACTTTTTTTTGGGTTGAAAAGCATTTTTCCTGTTCTGGTCTGGGCCGGTCCAGGTCCTGTTGGTTATTTCACTGCGGGTTGGTTGACTTCACACATATCTTTAAATATCTTCTCCAAAATGTGTAAGTTACATCACGATGTTTTCCTTCACCGTAAGAACGTCGGGTAAATTCTAGAATCGAAAATCACATTGGTACATGGCGGGATTCGAACCCAAGATTTATTATTACAAGTCAAGTGATTAAAACTCTGAGCCACCGACGCTCTTAGATTAGATTACGCTTAAAGAGAATCGCATTAGAATTCTAGCGGTGGGGTGGAACCGGCACGTGACGGAGTTCGAAGACCAGGGGCTGGCGACGCAGGGCAAAAGCTGGGAGACGCGGCACCGCGACGACGTGCTGGCGGCCGCCGTGCGCATCCCGCTGACCATCGCCACCGCCTCCTACGCCTCCGAGTTGCTGCTCTGGAAGCTCGAGACCGGCCAGCCTTACAGGTGGGCCCGGCTCGGCACCGACGGCTTCTCTTTGTCATCAAATTTCGCCGTAAACACTGTCACTCGTCGTACTTAGGAGGTTTTCGTGCACGGAGCCGACGTTGCGCATCAAGATGCAGTACAGCAAGCGCACCGCCTCGCCGCAGCAGCCCGCCGCCGCCGCGCCCCACGCCCACAGGCCCTCCGCAATATTCCGTCCGAGGTCATTTATATTTTTTTTATTCTTTCAAGAGCTAAAACATCAATTCTAAGTTCCGTGTAGTGAAAATTTGTGTAACCGTCTAATCGATCTTCAAACTTTGAATAATGATGCGCTTTACAAAAATGACTCAGTTTCATAATAGTTATATTCACCTGTGAAAAACCAGTACCGGACCTCAAACACATCAAAGACCTGAGGGACGCTGAAAACCTGTTTAAGCTCACATCGATCTAAATAAAATCAGCGGCCGATCGCCCGAAGATTGTTGTAGATAATATTAGTAATGGTTGTCAGCGTGTGCGGCATCCGGTCGGGGCGCGCGCGGCGCGTGTC